ATAAGGCAGGTCAAATAGAAATACACATTAAAATTACTATAGATTTACTGTTTCATTAACGTTTTAATCCTGTTCACAGAGTAATTTTAAAACATATTTTAGGTCCATGCAGTAATTGCTATAAGAGGAACATTGTGATTAAAACTAACTGTAATACTGGAAAAAGTTATGATTCTGAATATCTAAGATTGATTCTCATCAAAATACTATTCATGCCTATGAAACAGAAAAAAAAACAGGAAAAGAATAGATCAGACAAACCCATGTTTAGTAATATATCACTATCTCTTTCAATGCATCTTAGGAAATGTCATGCTACTTTGTCTGAACTAGTAAATGGTCTGATCATGCCATTCTTACACTGAAGGGTACTGTTAGTGGTTTCATTGCAATCAGTGGGGTTACTTGGGTGCTAGACAATGTGAATCAAGACGTCAGAACTGGGCCCATAGATACAGGTTGAACTCGTCTAGTCCGGCACCCTCAGGACATGACCAGTTCTGAACCAGAGAATTTGCTGAATCATGGGAGGTCAATATTGTCTAGAGGCATTACCAACATTTCCACTGCTTGCTGAGCTCTTAGAAGTCATTAAGGGGTATATTAGAGCTAAACAACAGCACAGATCACTGAGAGCCAGGACTGGTGTCTGTAAACAAACTTTATGGGACCCCGGGAAACTTGGCCACACTCATGATAAGCGGACATCCGGATAAGGAAAATCATGCCAGACCCTGGGTATTGCCGGAGCAGAGAGTGCTGGACTAGAGAGCTTCAACCTAGCTATGTGCTGGACCAGGGGAGTAAGGAGGTCAATACCACATTACCAATGGCAGCATGGGGTAGAGAGAGTCAACTTGCACCAGGCTGCTACTCCCACTTCCATACAGGCTGAGGAGAGGGGAGGAATCAGGGTAGGTCAGGGACAGGATTAGAATAGTTTTGGTTCTGCCCCTTGAGTGTGCTCTGTGGACCAGTGGAGCTGGGGTGGTGGGAGAACTTATCGGCAGATATAGGGCTGATTCAAATTACCTTCTCTAGAGAACCAGTAACCAGATTGTGAATATGCCTGGCCCTGGGTCAATGGGACTATGCCATTGGGGGCTGGTAGCAAAGCTGCAGGTGCGCTCTTAGTGGATCCAAATGACCAAAACAAAATACAAAAGGGTGACGTTGGAAGTGGGGATGAACAAGAAATCCTGTGGGCCCTTTACACTCACATGCGTGGTGCAGAGACCCTGTAGCCACTTGCCTTTCATCAGCTGAAGTAGTAGTCATATAGTCATGGAGAACGGGGACTGCGCTGTGGAGTTTTTGAGACTGGGGGTCAGGGAGACAGATATCTTCCCTTCTAACTCTACACACAAGCACACATACATCCCAACACACACCACCAGTCTCCATGCATTTCACCCACAAAAGGTTGAATTTCATCCAGACAATCAGGATTATCACTGCCAATTCATGCACTTTGCCAACCCCATTTTCAAAAATTCAAATGAAAGCAGGTGTTACAGCCTATATAGCAAGAGAGTCATGGTTCTTCAAATCAAACTGTCGCAGCTCGTGCTTTTTAGGTTCCCCAATTCAATCTGCCGTGTATCAGCCAAGAAGAGGTCATCATATAGGCGTGCACATTAAAAGTAACTCTATGCAGTGTACATATATGTTGCCTGTCTATAAACTGATGTGACACCTTTACAGCATGTGGTTTGTACATTATTTTTAATTATATTCACGTTGTTGGCAATGTAGAACAGCAGGTCATGTTTAAGTGTCAATGTCTAGTGAAACTACTGTCATTTTAGTTCGGTGTTTAAGGTGCTGAACGTAATGTAAGATGCTTTTATAACATTAAGTACCGTTTGCAACTGGCTGTAAAATGTTACAAAGGCTTGCACTGGAGTTCAGGTCAAATTATTTGAGTTATTTCCATGCTAATAGCTTAGGGTATGTCTACACTACAATGTTAGTTCGAACTAACGGACGTTAGTTCGAACTAACATTCATAGGCGCTACACTAGCACTCCGCTAGTTCGAATTTAAATCGAACTAGCGGAGCGCTTAGTTCGAACTAGGAAAACCTCATTTTACGAGGAATAAGCCTAGTTCGAACTTACTAGTTGGAATTAAGGGGTGTGTAGCCCCTTAATTCGAACTAGTGGGAGGCTAGCCCTCCCCAGCTTTCCCTGGTGGCCACTCTGGCCAACACCAGGGCAACTCTATGCCCCCCTCCCGGCCCCGGACCCCTTAAAGGGGCACAGGCTGGCTACGGTGCCTGTGCCAGGTGCAAGCCTGCCAGCACCCAGCCAGCAGACCCTGCACCTGGCACGGATCGAGCCACCCACCCGGTGCC